TTAACAAAACTACAAACTGAAGAAAAATGAAGAACATTGATGTCAGACGAATATGCAACATCATTTGTCCTGAATTTTTTGTGAAATCTACGTCTTTTAGTCTCAAAATTACGTGTTATGGTCTTTCTTGTATGTATTTCGTTATGACGTTTTGTGAAAAATCTGTACGTGATGAAGAAAAATGGATATCATTTTCGAATTCAGCGTACAGGAATTACCGTAGAACGTAAAAAATTCAAGACAATAAAACCATCGCAGGCCTATCGTTATTTTCTCCTCCTGATGAAGACCTGAGTAGAAGGTCGAAACGTTGCTGGGCCATATTTATATATACGTGTATATTTCTCTGTAATAAACATTTCACAAGTTGGAAATAATGAAATACGATGGTTTTTTCTGATTACAATAGTTCTACTATATATGGTACGGTTGACGCCGTACTGAAATGTTCGTTTAAATTCTGCAGATGTTGCTTGAAAAATGAAACTGTAAAAATTATGTGTTCAGTTTTTCAATTGTTATGGCTCTGTAAAGGAGCTTTTTATTTTTTTTTTTACCAAACCTAATTTTTCTGATAAAAAAAAGTCACCCGTCTATATTTAAAAGTCTTAGGTGCGTTGAAACAGAATGCCAATAACTTTTTTACAATGTTTCTTTGACAGACAAGTTTGTTCTGTAAGCTTTATTTTTTACAGACAATGGATAGTGTGGAAAGGAAATAAATACACCTTTGTGTTGAGAAACGAACGTCAAGTTTTCTGTTAAATCTGCTTGTCATTAACAACATAGTGTATCTTCTTAAGTTTCACTGCTGAGGTAGGTTATCGAAATTAAGAAAAACACACATGTTGCGTAAGTAGAAAGAAAGTGACAAATAGTGACACACATTGGCTTAAGTTACCACGTGCCTAACAGTACAAACTTGGTTATTACGGGATTGTTTGAACTTTGCTTGTGAGGACTTTGAATAGATCAAAATATTGAAGGTCTTAAAAAAAAGTAAAAAAAAAACAAACATTTTCTTTAGAAAAAAATTTGGAAGCATTTATAGAACTTGAATAAGAATTATTCAAGTTCTTAAATCGTCAAGAAAAAAAAACGGAAGTAAAAGCAATTTAAGTAATAAAATTAAATTACTGTTTCCAGTAACCCACGATTCGTCATAACTCACTTTACACACTGCCCATTTCGGGGCCCTGCGGTTGTTACAGCTCTTCTATAAAAACGTATGTAAAGGCAATTTACTCAGCGTGTTCTCGCTCTAACAGTGCTTTAGCAAATCACCGCACAAGGTGAAAGGCATTTTTCATTTTAAGCTATAGAAACTCTCAAACTCTCATTTTTGTTTTATTATTATTATTTTTGTGTTTGTGTGTGTTTGGGGGGGGGTCATGTATAATTTACATAAAAACTTCAAATTTCAAAATACATTGTGAGTTAAAATACTATTGAACAAAGAAATGTAGTTAAAAAAAGAAAAAAAAGAAGAAGAATTGGTTACACCTTTTGGAAACCTTAGCTTTTTTGATTGGTTGATTTGAAACAAATACCTTAGCTTTTTTGATTGGTTGATTTGAAACAAATACCTTAGCTTTTTTGATTGGTATATTTGAAACAAATACC